TTCTATATTTACTGTATTTTTTTTTATTGCCTAACTTTACTATAAGGTTAAAATATAGGCATTTTTCGTTTATTTATAAGATAAATCAACATAGTATGCAAGAAAATTACATATTAAAGTAGGCCGCATACCAAGGATTGCGGCCTACTCCGGTCCCTTACAGGCAACACTGAAAGCTACTGACAAGTTCTTAAATTACAAATTTCAGTGCAACGAATCTTGTCTCTTATGTCTTATATTCCTAGAGAGATTTATCGAAACGTAGAAATTGAAAATATATAATAATTATGTCGGATTCAAAAAAACCTAATATATTTTACATAGATAATCCCTTCGAAGCGATTACCTATATAAAATATATTAAATGTTAACTATGAATGTGGAGGGATATAGAGGAAGAGGTAGACCTAAGAAGAAATGGATGGATTGCGTGAAAGACGATATGGGTAAGAAGGGAGTGAGCGAAGAAATGGTATATGATAGAAGAGTATGGAAGGAGAAAACATGTTACGCCGACCCCAGGTAACTGGGAGAAGGGCAGGATAATGATGATGAATCCCGTCGAAGCGAACATTCAACTTAATGAATACTGATTATACCACTTTTAAATGTTCACGTAATATAACGTTTTGCGTGTTCTCAACAAGCTCCATGAAATATTATAATACTTATACGGTTTAATATCGCGATGTTGTTTTTGTCATTATGTTAACTCCAAAATTACGTATACGTCAATCGGTCAATTCGATCGTCTGATCATGTCAACTGTCAAGTATTTGAAACGGTCGGAAATGATGTTAAAAAAAGCGAGATTAAACCGAACAAGTAATTTGAGTTGATTTCACGACTAGCGAAACCAAAAACAAATAGCACCTTATGAAATAACATCTTTTATTTTTTCTTTGACAATTTGTAATTTTAATACGAATTAATTTGCTATGCAGATAAATGATTCAAAAAACGGCTTAATAACTCAAACAATAAAAACAGAGAAGAGTAAATATGAGTCTGAATAAATAATGCAATTTTTTTAAAAGAAACTAAATTGACAGGGGAAGTTCAATTTATAACTGGAGAGGTCAGTAAGGTAGTGCCTTGATAAATGTGGAAAGGAAATGACAACGTGGCCCGGTACGAGTAGATGTACTAGTTTGATAAACGTGCTGCGTCATTGCATAGTACAACCGTCTACGACCTGTAGTCCGATATAGCATTTGGAAATGTTTCACAGCGGATACGTTAAAAGCCGCCATGTTTGGCTATAATCGCCGAAATGAAATAGAAATAGTTTATTGACACTCTATAGTATTAAACTGGTGCGTCAAACTATCGAAATCTAAGTCTGGTTGAAGATTTATACCACCACATGTAGCCATCGTAGGTTGGATATCACTTGGAGAATCTTGTAAGGAACAGTTACTAAAATTTGTATCCATTGTAAAAGAACGGCCTTATTACAATAGAGGTCATCAGGTATTCTATAATACGGATATCAAATTCAAAATTCAAATCAAAAATTTGGAATCTCTTAGTCTGAATCTGTTATAAAAGATTTTGAATAAAGAAAACATCGTTAGGAACTACCCCATAACATCCTCGGGTGGTCTATTTATTGTCCAATACAGTAGAAAACAGCGATTGAATTATTATTTTTTAAGCGACACCCTCTATAGTATATACGAAACTTCCGACCTAATAATGAAACAATAAGATGATCACATTAAAATTCAACATTATTAATATTTTACAAATAAATTGTTAAAATAAATAAACGTTGCTTTATTAATAAATAGCATAATTAATAAACTGAATCCTTTTTAGACGATAAAGCCACTTATTCAAACATACCCTTAAACTTTTAGCTCTTGGTCCAAAACATCAGGTCGAAGGCTCGACTGAATTAGAAAATTACCACGTTTAATAAACTGTAATGTAAGCAAATTTTGGGGTAAAAACTGACAGGACCATTTCGTCGTATTGATTGACACTCAAAATTAAAGCAATTTTATTACAGTTTTTCTATAATTGTTATCGAGCAATTCTGGGACTGTGAAAACTCTACTTAAGTTTTGTGAAACTTTATGGTAGAGTTTTTAAATGAAACTTATGGAGTGAACTGTAGATGTCAAATTATACATTCGCTTGAGACTCTCGAGTCTCGAAGAGCTTGTTAGGTATGGAGAAGCACCTTTTCAAAACTAATTGAGTAAGTGACAATAAATAGTCAATAGATAGATACATAGATAGACAATGTATATAATAATTACCCACCCACAAGGGTGAGTTGAAATGTTCTGCTTATTTCTGTAACAAGACTTTCGTATATTACTTATCTGGAACAAACTGACCGCTATATCAACATAACTGAGACGTCACGTCCCAAGTTGATAGCTGTCCACGGGCTCTTTCCATTATAATCTTCTCATCTTATGCGAACAGCTTCAAAAGTATAAATTCACAAGAGATAATCATTTTCAATAATAGTGTAGGCGTTTTAAACGGTAATAATTACTACAATACTTATTAAAATCATTTTGATTAAATAGAGCTTTATAAATGTGCGCGTTGAAGTCTTTTAAATGAAGTTTAAATAGACCTTCTGTTTCAAAACTGAACTTAATTGTTTCTGTTAATTGAAATAACAATCGCTAGAAAGTACAATATAAATACATTGTAAAATTGTTATTCACGTATTTAAATAAAAACAACATTATTTAAGAAATCAATTGGTAAAAAACAATTTATAAAAAACATTCGATTTCGAAAATCGATTTATTGCATTTTGAATCATAGTAAAGTTATCTTCAATTTTAAGAAAGAAAAAAACGATTAACAAAATCAATATCAGTATTGTGTGTAAAATCAATAAAAGCTGAATTTAATGAAGTCTTGTTTAAAGTAGATGATTAAACTTTAGTCCGACATTAAAAAAAGTAGAGCCTTTCCTTAGTACCATACTTTCTGCTAGATAGGCAAACGAGCTGATTACTCGTCTGGTGGTACTAATTCTAGCAATTCCAATACACCATCAGTATACACAAATCTGGGGATCAAAGACAGAATTGAACCTTAATTCTTGAACATAAGCAATTAATAGGTATGTAAATACGTAATTAATAAGTTTAATTTCGCGTGCTTATTATTTCCGGGCTTCGTATAGTCTGCAGATTATGTGTGCCTTTAAAAAGTTGTACTTACTACAGTTTAACTGTATAAATTATAACTGATATTTATGTTTCTTTGCGCACGCTATGAACTATTTTGAGGTCTGGCAATTTATACGATTTGCGTTTTCATCTTCACCACAAAAAGATCGTATGTGTTAGATAAGATAGAGCTAACCATCTTTTCAAACAAAGCTTACTCTTTATGGTTTATAATACAAGGGATGCTAAACCGTAAAAATAATTTTAAAAGCGACTCGTAAAATGTAAAGACGTCAGTATCGTTTAGAATTTCAAACTCGACTAAGCCTTGTTCTATTATACTTTAAATACTTAAAACGTGTTTAAAAATGGTTTTACGGCCTATCGACTGGGACTGAGACATCATGCCAAATCTCGTAATTTCTTACAAAAACCCATGCGCATCCGCTTTGATCCGGGTCGTTATTCCACTCCATCGGAATACGCCGATTTTTATGGGATGTAATAACTGCTTAGCCCCAGATAAATAGTTAGCAGATTTACGCCGCAAAAATATTTTAATATGATATGATTATAAATTTTCAAATGATCGTAAATTTGTAAAGAAATTTTGATTTCATTTATGTTGATCAAAATAACCAGAGTATATATAGCTAATCTAATCGACCAAAATCTTTTTGGAGTTGGGATGGACAGGCGTCACAGAGCNATGTAATAACTGCTTAGCCCCAGATAAATAGTTAGCAGATTTACGCCGCAAAAATATTTTAATATGATATGATTATAAATTTTCAAATGATCGTAAATTTGTAAAGAAATTTTGATTTCATTTATGTTGATCAAAATAACCAGAGTATATATAGCTAATCTAATCGACCAAAATCTTTTTGGAGTTGGGATGGACAGGCGTCACAGAGCATACAATAAACATATTAAGTGATAAATTAAAAACCTCAATCTTATTGATATAAACTTTTATATGCATATCTTCTTATCTTGATATAAAGTCGATTAAGTGACATACTGAGAGACTCTACGTGAAAACTGTTTCCTGAGTAATAAGATTCATATTTTTTACATAGAAAATTGTATCCTTGTAACTTTACCGATAATTGTCTAATAGTAATTAACAGGCAATTTTTAATTATTTAAGTTGTATTTTAGGATTTTTCTGTATGATTAATTAAATGAGCAAATAATTTAGATCGGTGTGATTTTAACATTTAAGGATTAAATGAAACTTTAATTGCACAATGTGCACGTGTTGTGTGCGATGGCCGCGAAAAGACAGCAGGTGTCTTAAATGTATACACGCGTGCTGAGTCCAATATAATCCTTACTTCCTTGGCCAAAGTGGCGTGATTATGATCAATATTTACGCAGATGTGTCACTTTGGTTGACGTCGCATTACGTAATGCCAGCGGTTGTTTGACTAAGCCGAGACGAGAACCTTGCGATGTTTCCTAAAAAGTGCAACCCTTAACGATTTAACTAAAATCACGATACTCTTAAAGTGCCCTTTAACAATTTTTTGTTAAGTCGTTAAATACATTGTTTTATGTAAGAAATCAATTTAATGTGATATTTTTTTAAGAAACTTTCAAGCGAACTGCTAATCCGGTTAATCACGCCGCACATTAGAATCAAAGGGGTGAACAAATATAAAGCACACACGATATGCCTTCACGTATTATCGGAAATGCTACGAAAAACACGTAACTAACGTAACATCGGATCGTGGAGAGTTACGACGGCAAATCGTGCCATGTGGTAATAGTATTTGTGCGATCAGCTGTTCAGCCGTACGTTTGTTATCCTTTCGTGAAGTTAGATATGTGAATGTGTATACTCACCGGCCGCTGCGGCGAGCCACCACCAGCAGTAGCAGGCGGCCAGTAGCGCCCGAGCGCCGGCCATGTCAGCGACAGCGCATCACACGCGCGCTCACGCCGGCCGCCCCGGCGGACTGACTGCCGCCCCGCGCGATCGATGCTCGCTCGCACCTCTCCACCACGCACCCTCCGAGTCGCCCCGCCCCGCCGACCGACCAAACCGACCGCCACCATTTTCCGACTTTTCACAGAAAGCGCGCGCGCTGTCCTCTTTTCTGGCGGATCGCTGACCGCCGACCCTAATTGATTCGGCTCGTTCTTTTGCCGAACACGTTTTAGGTCAATTCTGCTGCAGTCTTTTTTTTATTGCTTATAGGGGTGGACGAGCTCACAGCCCACCTGGTGTTATGTGGCTACTGGAGCCCATAGACATCTACGACCTAAATGCGCCACCCATCTTGAGATATAAGTTCTAAGGTCTCAAGTAGGTATAGTTACAACGGCTGCCCCACCCTTCAGACCGAAACGCATTACTGCTTTACGACAGAAATAGGGGTGGTGGTACCTACCCGCGCGGCCCCACAAGAAGTCCTACCACCAGTCTCTGCGTTCTGTAATCAGAGAAGGCTTTAGCTTCGCCGAAAATTATATTCATTGATCCGGGCTATCTATATATTTCCGTGACCGATTTTATACATCTACCACCTTCACTACTACATGTTTATACATGTACTATCTTCCACATTGTCGACACAACGAGGCAAACAATAACTATTTGATAGTGACTACTTCGCCAAACTCCACGACTGTACTAATAATAATACTATATTATCAACCACCTTACGCTCCGTTGACAATACGACTTAAACTGCCAATGCTCTACTATAAACTCTAGCGTCTTGCGCAATGACGATGCATTACGAAGATAAAAAAATTACGAATATTTGAGAACTTTATTCGAAATTTAATTATCAATACTATAGTTTACTTTTAATCTGAAATTACCAAAAATAAATAATTGCCAAAATGAAAGTTTCCTATCCAAAAACTTCGTCTTCCAATACCTTAAAATTATTGAGAAGTATATATAGTACTAATAGTACTAATAGTATTCTTAATTCCGTCGAAGTCTTACAATAACTTGAAAAAATAGTATGAAATCTTTTAACTAATGTTTTTATTAGTTTATATTACCGGGTCCTTACGACTCTACCAACAGTAAAATCACTATGAAACAAATATATTTGAAGATTAATCGTTCAAACTCTTCTGGTCTCAAGGTATAATTGCCCGTGCTATGGGAACCAGAAACTCAAATACATAGTTTTAATCATTTAAATATATAACATGGTAAACACATCTAGACACGAAATAAACAAAATGTTCATCACACGAATACTTCACCGAAGCGGGAATTGAAAACGCGGCCGTCGGCCTTGCCTCGTGATGCTCCCTACAGCGTCACCGGGTCAGTCAATAAATTGTTCAGGAAAAAAAAGAAAAATCAAATAAATTCGTTAGTCAATACAATAATGTTCTTAATTTAGAATATCGCACCTCTAGAATTGAAGTGGCTTAATCCATAATCCTTGTTTTTTGGTAAAGAAGGTAAAGATTGTACCTTATTTTAATTCTGATTTTAAAACGTATAGCTGATTCCTTAAAGTTTAAAATGTGCGCTTTATTTCATCTAGACTAAAATTTAAATTTAATTTTTAATTTTTTAAATTCATAGAATACACGTTTTTAAGTCGTTCTAAATAAATTTAAAATTAATTTTCTTAAAATTTTTATTTAAGCTAATACAATTCTAAATGCGATTCTTTTGAATCCTGAATGGTTTTAACCATTTTTTACAGATCGCCAATTCATTTGCATCCGTATTGCACAATTTAAGTTACAAAATGGGTTTTCTGTGCGATATTTTACTTAAATTGACAACGCCATGTCGTTAACGGAGTTTAAATTGGGCCAGCTTGGTTAAATTATTCATTTCGTTCAGACGCCTCCACTGTGTTTATACAAACTATGGTTAACTACTTTTATGTATGTACAAGAAGGTATAATATAAGGGTTTAGCTTTTTTTAGCCTCATTATTGGCATACGAGCCTACGGAACCCCTTATAATTAGTCACTGGCGCTAATGGATTCACTTTTATATAGGATTTGGAAACTAACTTATTTATTTGACAAAAAAGAACTACTTTACTACAGAAACGTATTTATGTGTATCTATGTTAAAGTACCCCACCTGTCCTTGTGAAACTGGAAAGGCCTCCAGACCACCAGTAAACCATCAATCATAAAAAAATACCCAATGATAAATATTGCACATGGTCCCTTGGAAAGAGATACTCGAATAATTTCACTTCGTAGAGCGTTAGCCGCGTTAGGAGTGCAGGACCGTTGTCTCTCGCGAAACTCGGAGAAGGCCTATGTCCAGCAGTAGACAACTGTGGGCTTAAAGATAGTGCGATCCTAATATATACGAGGTTGTTAATATTTCGTGCGACAATGATAACGCTCTACGAAGCCGAAATTAGCCGATTGTCTCTTTCTAAAAGTCGATATGTAGTATTTATGGCCTGGTACTGTAATTGACGTGTCTTAAGATAAATATTAGTGAGTGATTGGCACCGACAATAACGAACAGCCGCCTTCGCCCTTGACTCCGATCCACCTTGGTGTTTTCAGGAAAATCCGGCACCGGTTACCGTCCTCATCGAACTCGTCAAATGCGAGTTCGACATGCAAAATAACCCACAGACACAACGCATTGAATTATTCGCCGAATCTTCTGCGTGGATTGCAATTCGGATTCAGTGGTAGATTCAGCGAAGTACTGCTTTTCCCGTGCCAATTGTTAGCAAATCCTCTCCGGCTGAACCTCGTGAGCTCGGCCACTAGCCAAGGTGAGGCCAGAATAGCCCCTAGACACTACTAACGAGACAAAACAAAAGGTACCGATACGTATGGATACCGTCAAGGTAAGGACTATCGCTAAGCCGTTGAGTACAATACTATATTTGTTTATTCTAAGGCTTTCCAACACTACAAAGAAAATTGTTTCGTTATATGTATTGATCAGCAAATGATAAAAGTTGTATTTATTGTGTAACATAGATTCTTCACCTCTATCGCTCAGCGATGTTTTAGTTGGATTAGTGCAAAAGGCATATCCAAAAATCTCAGATCCAAAACATCACAGTGCTTTACCGCCCCGCTCAAGCAGGTACCAATTTTTCTAATGAAATACGTACTCAAAAAATGTTCACGATTGATTTCCACGGTGAAGGAACAACATCATCTAATAAAAATTAAGCCCGCAAAATTATAATTTGCGTAATTACTGGTGGTAGGACCTCTTGTGAGTCCGCGCGGGTGGGTACCACCACCCTGCCTATTTCTGCCGTGAAACAGTAATGCGTTTCGGTTTGAAAGGAGGGGCAGCCGTTGCGACTATACTGAGAACTTAGAACTGTATCTCAAGGTGTGTGGCGCATTTACGTTGTAGATGTCTATGGGCTCCAGTAACCACTTAACACCAGGTGGGCTGTGAGCTCGTCCACAAATCTAAGCAATAAAAAAAATTAAAAAAAATCGTTTTCATAAACGATGTCATAAAGTAATTTCTTTGATTTTTTAAAGTAAGACATGTTATAATAAACATTATTAACTTGTGAAATTTTCATAAACTCAACTCATGTAAGGTACAGAGAATGGTGGTGACTAAAACATTTTAATCTTAGTAGTATATTCTAAATCCCTTTTCACTTTGACTTTTTAAAGTCTGTCATAAATAATCTGTCATCAAATTGACAAATAGCAGATGACAGTAACAGTAGGTAGATAGTTCCTCCCACTGGAAAAGTGAAGAAATCACAGCTTACGGCCTAATCTATTGTATAATCTGTTTAATGAAAAAATGATACAGAGGGAGATGAAATGAAGTTGAAATTAAATTAAATGAAATGAGATTAGATGGGATGAAATATAGTCTCAGTGAAATGGTGGTTATTTACAAAAACTTTTTCAATGGACTCTGGAAAATCCCGAGAAGCTGCGTTTAACAGCTCTGTTTAATTTTTCCACATTTGTGCTCTTTAACAGATAAATAAACCACACTTTGAAACCCTAAAAAACACTAAATTAACAAAATAAAAAAATATAATAATTCACACAACTTCGCTCCTCGACGTTCCCGCCAAAAAGTCGACAGATAACAATACCTTTTTTTTCTTTTCTCGGTCCGGGTCCGAACCTCCTACGAGGTCCCCGCGCTCAGTGAGCGCGCGAGGTATGTAGTACTGGTCATCACTGGTCCGTGACTGCAAAACCGCGGGCCCAAGGATGTTTTTAGGGCCCTACCCATTCAACGACTCCCCTACACTCTTCGTCCAAGCGTCCGATCCCCTCCGAGGTCAGAACCCGGATGAGGTAGGGGGGCTACCGCGGTCAATACTGCAACCAGACAGCGCAGCTCACCCCAAGGACGCCCAGCCGACGGAGTCCTCGAGGCGAATCGAAGGCTCTGAAACGTCGGCCGTCTCGGTACGGCAGCCCGTCAGGCCGCCCAGACGGTGCCGCTGGTGTCCCGGAATACCCCGCTAGACTGAACCAGCCTGCCGCGTCGGGACGCGATACACTGCTCTTTCGTATGTCCTTGGCAGCGCGCTAGAGTGCTGGTAGCGCGCCGCGCGGCCTCTATCCCCTCAGGTCGCCTCTTGACCTTAGCCGGGGGAAAGCCACTACCTACAGGGGCCCGGACGTACGGCCATAATCCTCCGGTCCCTGGGACAGATGACAATACCTAAAATATGTTTTTTTTATTTAAAATTCTTACATTTTACCTTTACATTTTAACCGATTTCATTTGTAATCATCATTAAAAATAATCCTTTGTTTGATAATTTACTAAGATTTCAATCCAGTTATTGGAAGACCCCATGATACCATGTCCATACCCATAAATAGCCCCATTGTCCTAATTAAGCGCTTTTAATGGAAATATTCCATCTAAAGGTACGAACTAACACTGAAATCATAAAACACCATATCACACTCCAAATACGTAATACACTCACATAGTTTGTGCCAGTCGAGCCAGAAACCTATCACAAATCAATCCTCCATACTCACTACTTCATAATTCATATGGCTTTTTGGCGGGAACGCGAGGAGTGAAGTTGTGTGATTTGTTTTATTTTGTCTCTTTGGGGTTTCTTCAGGTTTAATTGTGTAAGAACGGTGGTTTATTAACTGTTAAGTATCCGTGAAAGTGCACAAATGTGGGAAAATCAAACAAAGCCGCTGAACGTAACTTCTCGGGATCCTCCAAAAAATCGTTTGAAAAGTCTCAGTGGTCCTTTACCACCATTTTACTGAGACTAAATTTTCTACTATATCATCTCATCTCATTTCATTTCACTTCATATTATCATTTTTCATAAAAATAAGAATATAAATTAAGATAAGACTTGACCTAAAGGCCTTAATTACCAGGTCATAAAATCCCTTAAAAACAACAGAGACAGACTATACGATTGTACACAAAAATATACAACAAACAAAAATATAATAAAAAAAAGAATATGTATTAGGTAATAATTTTGAATTTAATGTAGAAGAGGTCATAGACATAGATAATACACATATTAATTATCAGAAGTTACATAGCAAAAAGTAGTTTTGATAGACACAATCAATCATCATTTTCAACTAGGACCGCCACTTAAATCAAATGAATTAAAAGATAAATAAATGAAAATTTTTAAAGATGAAATTTAATCTATCTATAAATGATGACAATGAATCGCGGTTATTATGATGTTTTCATGCGAACTTGCGCGAGAAGTCCCGGTAACGTTGCCATTAGACAATACGAATGCGGCAAATATCATACATATACTTATTCAGAATTATACGGAGTCTGCGAATACGTGTCGCAGAACTTGCAACAGTTAAAATGCAACAAAGGTGTCATAGCATTGGTTTCGGAAAAGAATGCAATCATACCTTCGGTTATAGCAGCGTAAGTATTTCGTTAACTGTCCACTGAGACAAATTTTTAGTTGCCTCGCCAACCCTATATCTGAAACTATTACTATGTCGTAGTGTTATTGGTAGGAAGACAGCACCTTGGAATTACTGACACTCCTCATATACCGAGGTCAATCTTGGCATTCACATTGCAATTTTAGGAACTCGAGTTACCACTTAATACCAAGTGTGCTCACACACACTTATTATAATAAAATTTAAAGTGTTCCATGATACAGTTCTATTTAAAGCTGCTACACTACGACTTTGTATTCTGCCTGCATGTCACCACTTAGTACATTAATTACATAGATTATTTGAAATGTTTCTTATTCACAATGCCGACCTAAACAATTTAAATATTATTGATCCTGAAATATGAGTTTATAAAAATTAGACAATTTAAAATTTATTGACAGTGGCTCTTTCTGAAATTATACCAAATGCAGACATTAAATTAACATGCAGTTGGAGGCTATTTAGACTCTGTTATCAGCATACTCCGTGTTTTCTCTTATGTTCACATAAGATTATGTAAATTAAAAAACAGTTTTTTTTTTGTTGTTGTGTTATCTGCTATCTGCATGAACTATAAGCAGATGTGCTGTGAGATGTGGCAGTGTGTCCTCTGGCTCTTCATCAAGAGGTCATACTTAAAAATGTCCATATCAATAAGCCATGTCCTTTACTATGATATGAAAAATTCTATACCATTGCCCCAAAGGTTGTTTATATGGAATAATAATCTACTTTTGTTTTTTTAAGGGCACACAAATGTTGTACCTCTTTTATATTTTTGAATTCTCCTCAAGACATAGAGATTATTACTGGGAAAATCAAATTGTCTGCAGTAATTGTGATCAACAAAAACAGAGATAATGTTCAATTGGAATTATTTGGAAAAGAACCTGACACAACAGCTTCAATGTTTGATTTGAATATACTCTTCTACAGTTGTGATACTACTGCTGAAAATAATTTTGTATCTCAACACTCATTTATAGCAACAACCTCAGGCAGCACTGGGGAACCTAAGCACATACAAGTGCCAATACAATGCCTACAACCAAACATTGATGATTTAACTAAACTATTTAGCATTACCTCAAAAGATGTTATCTATTTTTCAACTCCACTGACCTTTGATCCATCTATGGTTGAAATATTACTTGCATGTACAAATGGAGCATCACTTCTTATTGCACCGGACCTCACAGAAGTATTATTTCATGAGGACAATGACAATTCTGTAACATTCTGGCAGACAACACCATCAAAATTTTTTCAACATTCAAATGAAAATATCAAGAATAAAATATTATGTGCTAGATCTACACTCAAAGTGTTGGCTTTAGGAGGGGAACCGCTTAATGGAATTAAAATACTGAAAGAGCTAAAACATAAGAATAATAAAACTAGAATATTCACATTATATGGAGTTACAGAGATGTCATGTTGGGCAAGTGTAGCAGAACTTGATCTAAATAAAGTTACTACAGGAGACAAGGAAGTGCCATTGGGAAACTGCCTATCGGAAACAGAATTATTTGTTCAACCTCATGAGAAAAATAATACTATGGGTAAAATTATATTGGGTGAGTTAAATTTTAAGTGCACCAAATTTATACTAAATATAATATGGTTTCAAAATGCAAGTGTTGTCAAAATTAGTTATTTTTAAGTGAATTAACCATGGTTTTCTATATTGCAATGTTATACTTGATAACTTATTTGTAAATAAACATGCAAATCCTAGCTGTCACTGCCAGTTTTTATTAAAATATTACCAAAAAATATTTATTTCATTTCAGCTAGCAAAACAAGAAAGTGTATTCTTCTTAATAGAAAGAATGGAAACAAAGAAGAAAATAGTATAAAGTTTATTGACACAGGTGACATTGGTGAGATAAGGAATGGGACTGTGTTTTATAGAGGCCGTGTAGATGACACAATAAAAAGATTTGGTCATAAAATCAATTTACATTCTATAGAATCTACTGTGATACAGTGTCCAAGAGTAAGGGCTTGTTCATGTGTGTGGCTGCAAACCCCTCTCCTCCTCATTGTATACTTCTCAGCTGAAACATTGAGCAGTCAGGAATTATTGGACTTCCTTAAATGTAAGCTTGATGAAAAATACTGGCCAGATAAGGTGATCAGAGTGGATACTTTGCCTACTAATGCTCATGGAAAGACTTCTAAAGAAATCCTAGTCAATATCTATAAAAAATCAAACATACTAGAAAATGTGGAAAATATCAAATCATATCTTTTTAAAGAATTAAAGGCTTTAGTAAATAAAGATTTGAATTATGAAGATATTCAAAGTAAAAGTTTTTTTTCACTTGGTGGTACGTCATTCCTAGCAGTAACAATTTGCAATAAACTTTCATTAACTTTCCCTGAAGTAGGAAAACATATTTTACCACATTTATTATCACATAATAAAAGTATTGGTGATGTTTTAAAAACTATTACCCAAGACACAAACTGCTTAGAAAATAAATTCAAAAAGAGTATCAAAAGAAACCGATCTACAAGCAGCCATGGTGAAAATAGCATATCTTACAAAAAAGGTGCCGATGGCATTAGAAATTCTAATACCGTGGAGTTTGTTGTCCAATGGACTTTCGATACTGGGAAATGTGTTGATGCTTCTCCTGCACTCTATAAAAGTGAAAGGTGAGTTATCCAGAAACCTACAAGGCTTTAATGTAAAAACTATATAATATATATACATATATATAATTTAGTAATAAAATGTAAACATTTCCAGTTAGTGAAGGTTTTTCAAACATAAAAATTGCATTATGAGTTAAAGCAATATCCACTGAGCGGAACAGAATAAATTTCGTAATTACAGTGTTGGTTAACTCGGCTTCTTCACTGCTTTTTATGCTGTTACCTAAATGATTTTTTTTTGTGTATTGAATGGTGTATTGAATATACTCACATTCTTCTGAAAATTCTGACAATACTTCCCAACCTTGTTTGCAGTGTGCTGTATGTCACCGTCGGGAGCCACTCAGGAAAAATCGTGGTTATGAACGCTAACACCGGTTTTATACAAGGTATGATTAAGTTGAAATCACGAATTGAAGCTCCGATCCTGTGTGTGCACGATGAATGCGTGACATCACCTTGCGGCGTTGTTGGCACATACGATGGTACTGTGATCTGCTTTCTTCTCGAAAATTGCTCAGTAATATGGCAAATCAATGTTGGTTCCATGATTAAAAGTAAAGCAACATACTGTAAAGGAGTTTTATACATTGCATCATATGATGGTAACATACGATGCATTGACATCTTGGTAAGCAATGACTAGACTATGCTACTAAATTCAAAAATTCTTAAGGGTAAAGTTAACCAGAATTACCTTTTCAGACTAGTACCATTAAAGAAACAGTACATGTCTCAGACCAAGCAATATCAGCAGATCTAGTCTTAGCTAAAAATGAATTCATTCTTTTCGGTACACTGTCTGGTGTGTGTGCTTGTCTGCACGTCAATACCAAGACTATTATTTGGCAAGGTTCCTTGAAAGGTCCCATTTTCGCATGTCCTGTACTATATGATAATGACAAGTATGTAATTTTTGCTGAAGTAAATGGAGAAATACATTGCAGGACTGTAGAAAAGGGTATTAAGGTCAGTTCTTAGTTAATACTTTTTATTAAAAATAGAATATGAACTGAGATTTTATCATTTCACTTATAAGTACTATTTTCAGATATGGACATACAATGGAGCAAAAGGAAACATATTTTCATCATTATGTGTAAAAGAAATAAATAAATTTAAGTGGCAGATGTACTTTGGATGTCATGACAATAATGTCTATAGTGTTAACATTACAAATTTTCAACCAAGCTTGCACTGGAAGACAAGAGTTAGTTCCCCTGTTTACTCAACACCAACTATATTCAATAATAAATTAATATTGGCTGCCTCTACTGATGGAAAGTTGTGGGTAATGCATTCCGAGCTTGGAACAGTAATTGCACAGTACCAATTACCAGGAGAAACATTCTCTTCTCCCATAATATGTGATGATCATGTATTTATTGGCTGTAGGAATGATCTCTTATACAGTCTTAAAATTGATACAAAATAAGATATAATTTATAGCTATATATTAGATATGTACAAAATAGAAAATTGTTGTAATACTTTTGTTCTGAAATAAAATAAAAATTATTGTTTTCATAATGTAACTTTATTTATGATCTTACACAATTAAAATAATGAGCATTCATAATTTTGAAAGATTACACAAATTATATTAAGGTTATTGCTGCATCAATAAATGTACCATATTGGAATGCATATCAGTTACAAAATAACATATAAACAGCTTTTAACTTGTGCAGACCAACTTAACACTGATAAATATTATAGATAAAAATAGCAACCACCCAACTATATTCTGAAATTATTCTTTAGTTTTGATACTTAGTGCAAATAATATTTTCTTTTCATTTAATGAAACTGGTTAAATGTAGACCATAAACTTCTCAATTACTTAAATATGAAGTATTATAAAGTAACAATTCATTGAGGTTTTTTCCTTAAATAAACAGTTGAATAACAAGCAGTATACATATTATTTTTTCATGAGACCTCTCAGTTATTTACTGATCCTCTTCACCAAGTTCCAGCTTGACTTTAGAGAAATCAAATTCTTCCCCAGTACCATGTTTATAAATTTTAAGCACATCCAGACAAGTTGTTTCAAAGTGTGTGGTGGCATCATAAGATTCCGAAATAAATATTTGGCTTTGGCTACCATCATCGATTGGCTCATAATAGTCAGTCACTGATACAAACTTTTGCCTAATGGCACCCAAAAGAGCCAAACCAGGTCTGATTTCAGATTCAGGATCATTGGTCTCAACAGTAGTAGAGACCATAGCAATAAACCAACCCTTAGCTGCAACCTGGTGAGTGTAGGACACTACCGACACATAGATATCAGAATTCCTCTCAACTTGTTTTTGAGGGATTATAATCTGAGTGGAAAGTGCATCCTTGGTGTTAGAAATGGGATGATCTAATAGACAAATGCATCGTATCACCTGACCCTTCTTACGGACACGGTCAGGGACATAGCTTGGGTCACAATAAACCTGCTTACACTTGGCAGTTTCATTGCCAGAGCGAACACCAACCACTTTTCCATCCTCTCCCAAGACAATCTCATCTATGGGTTTGTCCAACATATAGGTTCCTCCATATATAGCAGAAAGGCGAGCAAAGCCTTGAGGAAGTTCTCCCAATCCATACAATGGGTAAAGGTAAGGAGACTTACCATACTTCGCTAGTGAATCAGAATACAACTTGATGCGGCGAATGGTCTGGATAGCAGGCTGTTGCAAATAATTATCATCCAAATAAAGGNAGACAATCTCATCTATGGGTTTGTCCAACATATAGGTTCCTCCATATATAGCAGAAAGGCGAGCAAAGCCTTGAGGAAGTTCTCCCAATCCATACAATGGGTAAAGGTAAGGAGACTTACCATACTTCGCTAGTGAATCAGAATACAACTTGATGCGGCGAATGGTCTGGATAGCAGGCTGTTGCAAATAATTATCATCCAAATAAAGGGCAAGAGCATGTCCAGTGAAATCTTGGGTGTTTCTATCTAACCCAAACTTATCGTACAGCGACTGCATGTTTGCAGTTGAGGGATCAAAATCCTTCCATGTCTTGGCATCTTCTTCCTGGAAATCTTGAACGTAGATTAAGAAGTTGCGGAAACGCCTCTTCTCAAACATGCCCATAAGATCAGACGCAAGAGCTTCTTTCTGATCGACAGGTACTTTGGAGATTTTTCCACCTTTGTAAACATAGCTTCCTTCGATGGACTTAAACTCCAAGTACCGGGTGACGCCCGTGTGAATGAGCAATTTGACTAGCAATCCATTAGCCATCAGAAACTTAGGAATCAAGTCAACGTTCCAGTCTCGACCTCGACCGTATGTTTCATCAGGTGCCGGTGCGTTGAACTTAGCGAACAGCTCCTCTAACGGGGTAATTGACGCAGATTCACCACCGTAGTACTTATTGCGATCGATGTGCAAAACCTTCTTCCCAGAAACCGACAACATGCCGCTTAAAATACATTCTTTTAAGCCTGTTCCCAGGACAATCACATCGTATTCTTCATCCATTATGATAGTGTAAAAGATCAACTCGATTTAACCAACTACTGCTGAAGAAATGTCAAAATGTCGGAACTGAGAACGGAAAGATGTCGGCCATCGATGACGTTGCCGAATGAACAAAATGAACGAAGTAAAATTATAGAATCCAGATTATTAAAGGTGCATATTGAATGCAAGACTGCATGCATGCAAGAAGCATGAACCAAAATTATATCAAAGATTGAGAATCGATGTTTGTGTTTTTAACAAAGAGAAGAAGTTTAGTTTGTTTTTTGCTTCCGAATAAAAAGTATTAATTTCGGTCGCCTTTATTTAATGTTCCAGACATTTATAAATAGCCCGACATGTTTCAGGGATAGTTTTTGTCATCAGGGGTTGGGATATTGAAGAACTAAATTTTAAATCTTGATACGAATTTCCTGTTGCAAGAAATCTTAATGTTACAACCAATCTTTCTTTTGGACTTATACTGTCGTAGGATTAGATATGTAATAGTTGTAAAATAAATATATAATAGACTATCGTAGGATAGTATCCTGTTTTTGAATAAACGGTGTCACAAGGCCTAATATTAGGTCAAACGAGATCGAATCCATTTAAAGATAACTAGCTGACCCGGCAGACTTCGTAGTGCCTCAATCGATAAATAAAAGACCTCAAGGAATCCGTCCGAAGGGGAACACATCAAAGGAAAAACAAAATTGTTATTTTTATTTAATTCCGAGCATTTTCTTAAATCAAGGTAGATTAAACCTTCTCTGGACTTCCACGAATAATTCAAGACCAAAAATAACCAAATCGGTTCAGCCGTTCTTGAGTTTTAGCGAGACTAACGAACAGCAATTCATTTTTATATATAAAGAAGATTTCTGAAGTTTGCTGGTTCTAAATCACTCATAATGTTCTTAATCATGTCATATTTGTTAACATTCCGCACAGCAATAAATATTTCTTCACCGATATTCTTGTTTTTTTTATTTTTTATTTCGAGCAATAGAAACAAAAAAAAAACAAAAAAATTTGTTCTTTTCTAGACAATACTGGGGCCATCCTCTTACGCACATGACACGTCTTACTTCATCGCGTTTAAACTGACAATTGATTCAGTAACTAAATTTAATATTCAAAAATTCCATTCCAATATCAATTTCATTTGCATCTTAGGTCCAGTTGCTCCATTTCACTGCCATTCACAATAAGATAAGAAGGGTTCTTCGTGCCCCCTTAAGAGGGCACGGAGCGGGCCTCGGGGCAAACCCATCTGCCCGGGCAGAAGCTCCCTGCAACGCAGGGCAGGGTGTGATGAGGGTGGGACTGTTCTTAGCGTGCTCGGTTGCAGTTTACATCTATATATACATATATAATACGATGGGCTTGGTTAGGCGTCGAATTGGTGCCCGTGGACGTAGCACACCAGCGCGGCGGCGCCGGGGTGCTGTACTCTGCTTTTCTTTTCTTTTCTTTTTTGCCCTTACAACTAACTAAACCTAACTACAAACTAACTACTAACTACTATATACAAACAGGAACAACAGTCAGCAAGAAGAGGGCCGGGACGCCACGGATCCCGTATGTGGACAGCTCAGTCCCATCCCCATGCTCCCACACTCATTATGAGCACTCCCTTAACACTCCGGTTAAGTTGCCAGTAGCTCCCTTGGTAGCGCCCGACCATCAGGTGGTCTGGCATGCAAGGGAGCTATATTGTGGAGATGCTCGTGGGGTCCACCGTCAGCCCGCTCGTAAATATTACGAGCTAGCCTCCAAATGAACTCCTCGAGCAACTGCACATAAAGATCCCGGGCTATTACGTCATTTCTGACGTAACGGCCTGCTCCTACTATCGTGCGTAGAGCCAGATTTTACTGGGCCTGCAACCTCACCCGCGTACGCTGCGGGATGAGGTGATACCATGTCGCAGCTGCGTACGTGATACGGGAACGGACATTGTAAATTGCCATTCATATGGCAATCATGGCTTCATCCTCCACTACACAAGACTTGGCTGTATAGGCTTTGCTCTCATCGCGTATCCAATTGACAATCAAATAAAACAAAATCATGTCAAAATGTCAACTTCGTGTCAATTCTGTCAGTTCGCTACTCTCACTTACAGTCACTTTTTTAGTTGTTTTGAGTTGTTCTCTCGCGTACGTGATAAGCGCCGTTGCTTCGTGGAAATAACAATATTTGTATTTCGATGTGAAATATATAGCAATGTGTAATGTACTATCAGTTCAGAATACATCACCATTGATACGTTCTCTCTGTAACACGAATATTATTCTTGCGAATCAGTGATCAGATGACTTTACCATATGTTTNGTCACTTTTTTAGTTGTTTTGAGTTGTTCTCTCGCGTACGTGATAAGCGCCGTTGCTTCGTGGAAATAACAATATTTGTATTTCGATGTGAAATATATAGCAATGTGTAATGTACTATCAGTTCAGAATACATCACCATTGATACGTTCTCTCTGTAACACGAATATTATTCTTGCGAATCAGTGATCAGATGACTTTACCATATGTTTCAAATCATTCGACAATCGACAAATTCTCTTATAACTCTTCAATAAACATTACTATCACATTACGCGTCACGTTTTAAATGAAAGGAATAATTGAGCCGCATCCATCACAGATGTATAAAAATGTCAACAGAAGGAAGCGGAGAGACTCCCTCGACGGTGCCATGTTTACCAGGAGCACCCGAACAAACATATCTATTTCCGAAAGTAAAAGGACACTCGAGGTCCATAAGCCATGGTGGCACTCCCATACTAGCCGGGAATACGACCACGGCCCGGCCGCCCTTAAAATCTGCACTGAGAGGTCATCAGCGAGCTTTGTCTCATGGTCAAATTGGCGAAGGTCCACGCGCCGGGTCAGGACCCGGTCACAGTCGCACTGGCAGCCGCACAGACTTCATCTTGCCACCAGGTCATCGCGAACCAGTACCTGCAAGTGCCCAACCAAGACTGGGATCTGTACGCGCTCATCACTCACGACAAGCATCCCGCTCTGATTCCATATACACAATAAGAAGAACTTCCGTTGTTGGCCCATGGCGGCGTGCAGCCTTTTGGTTGTTGAGAAGACAACAGCCTGTTATTGATAATTGTCATATGACTGTAGTACCAAACCATTTAGTGCCAGATAAAACACCACCAAAAGACCATCCTAATGGACATAGGTGCAACAATAAAATTAGGACTACTAAATACACCTTACTGTCATTTTTACCAAAAAATTTATTTGAACAGTTTCATAGGATCGCAAATGTGTATTTTATTTTTATTGTGTTGTTGAACTGGGTGCCAGCTATAAGTGCATTTGGCAAGGAAGTGGCTATGCTACCTGTGTTGTTTGTGTTAGGTGTGACGGCTATTAAAGACTTGTTTGAAGATCGGAGAAGACACATGTCAGACAAGAGAATCAACAATTCATTTTGCAGAGTATACAAGAAGTGAGTAATTTAAATCTTAATATTTTTTTACTTGAATTAGCTATTTGGAAGTATACTAGAATGTGGAATTGTTGTACCTACAGTAAGTAATGACTCAGTTTGTTTCATAAGATTCTGTAGAATTTACAAAATGGCTCTGGCCCNTGAAGATCGGAGAAGACACATGTCAGACAAGAGAATCAACAATTCATTTTGCAGAGTATACAAGAAGTGAGTAATTTAAATCTTAATATTTTTTTACTTGAATTAGCTATTTGGAAGTATACTAGAATGTGGAATTGTTGTACCTACAGTAAGTAATGACTCAGTTTGTTTCATAAGATTCTGTAGAATTTACAAAATGGCTCTGGCCCTTAGAGCTAGCTTATGTATCAAAAAGCAATTTTCATTTTGGTTTTGGATACATTATTTGATTCATTATTTTATCATAATATTGAATGTAAACTTTAAGCACATTTTTATATTTTTCAAGTCAATTTAAAGTTTTATTTTCTTTTAATATACAGATTTTATAAAAATAATAATATAGTCATTTGGATTAAGTAGAATAATGAATACCAGTGAAAACAGTCTACAAAAATATTATATTACCTTTTATCAGTGCATACTGCAAAATAACAATAATTGTGTTAAAAATATGAAACAAGAGCAACATGTAGAATTTGAACAGAGTATTTTTTATACATATTTCTAAATATCCTTTTTTTATTAATGCGTGAAACAGTTAATATTCTATAAAACTTAAAATGATCTTCATTATGCTTAATCTCATTTGTCTACTAATTTGAAGAACCATGCTTATATTATTCACAGATTAGATAATAATATTAATATAATATTACTTTATTAAAAATACATTTTTACAATCACAATTATATTTACACAAACAAATATATTTTTTGTATATAAATAATTCTGGGAAGATATCCCAAGATAGATAGAAGATATCTTCAAGAAACTGATGTACATGAAAAGCTATAATTCATATTATTGTACACACTCAATATTATTTGTTTTATTTATTTCTAAAATTTAAGAATTAATTACAAAGCATGTAATAACTCACATACTGAACAATTAAAGTAAGTAAATTTATTCAAATAAAATTTTATTTGTTATAGTGGCAATCTATAAATTTAATTGAATAAACAAACCCAACTGTTAAGTGTTGAGTGCACAGACACAACATAAATGTAATAAAAACTTTAAGTCTTCTTTTCTCCCCTTTCATTTTCACTAATGCACTGGCATGTTGACATCCAATTTAACTGACTGAAAAAAAAGTCTATTTCTATTAGTTAATCTAGTATTTATATAGTTAGACAACAAGGATACTTTTTTTTTATTTTTTTTTGCGTCACCTATTTGAATTTTCTTGATAGGGTTTGCTGATAGGATTTTCAATTCTCTAGTTCATTTTTCTCTCCATTTTCCAAACAACAGCTTAACAACAAAAGAATGCATAATGATCATATTATATCATTTGAAAACACAAACAAAGATGTCTTGAATTGTTACAATATCTATACTATGTAACATTATTTATGACAAACATTAAGAGATAAATATTAAACTGCATTTATGCAAAAAATACTCCACGGGTTTTGTCCTTTATGGGTTTAACTTCTTACCAATGTTTTGTTGAAATTACATAATGTTTGTTCGACATTTTATGACTTTTATGTCGTTTGATCTGTTTAATTCGAATGATTTATTAAAACGAAACGAAAAAGTAAATACAGTAGGGTGTATAGTGTCGATACATGTACAGTACCTACCTATTTTCGTTCGTAAATTAGATTTTTAGAAAAGCAACCTCGTAAGATGACCTTCGCCGTGTTAGTCGGAAACCTTATATCGCCTTATAACATAGTAGGAAATGACGATGTAAAATAAATAAACCTCGGAAATTGGATGTTGGTATTTCAAAAGGCCCACGTGTGTAGTGATCGATGTTCGTAATGAAATATTTCATGTATCCGTCGGTAATATGCGTGTCCTCGAACTTTAAAGTGCCTTTCGCGTCGCCCGGCTCGTTTACAGTGATTTCAATTGATTGTGTCGACTGACTGCTCCCAAGGTCGCTTCAATAACTTGAAACGTTATGAGCTTAATGAACATCGTTATGGTCACGAGAACAAATACGCAGATTTATTGTTTTATTGATTTTGTTATGTTATTCGGTACGTCTGATGAATGATATTTACATAAATTAATAATGCTCGTTTGCCAAAATATTTGAAGGTTACAAAACTTTGTTATTTATTTTTCCAATCTGAAAACCAGAGAAGAGCATTCTATTAAGACAGAAAATAGGAAAAATACTTTAGGCTTATTAGAAATATATAGCCCTCCTATATGTATTCGTATAAGTTCATATCGAATAGTGAAAGGCTGTTGTGTGTGTTCCTGTAAGTTTACAGGAGAGCCATTTAAAGGTTAAAATTTGAAATAAATATCAGCAATTTGAATGAGGTAAACTCAATTGAAGCTCAATTAAAAACATCGAATTGATTTGATTTGATTTGATAACATTTAATTCAATTAACACACAATTTCCTAGCCCTGCAATTTTAATGTATACTTGATAATTGATATCAATTTAAGGTTATGAATTAAACTTGAGGCTTATTCTGGACTTTTTGTGCGGGAACGCGAGGAGTGAAGTTATGTGATTTGTTTTATTTTGTCTATTTAGTGTTTCTTCAGGCTTAAATATGTAATAACGGTGGTTTATTAACTATTTAATATCTGTGAAAGTGCACAAATATGGGAAAACGAAACAAAGTCCATTAAAAAAAATTAAGCTTATTCTGTATTCTCATTTACCTCATGTTCACGAATTTAAACATTTTAGAATAAATAAACAAAACAGGAATTTAAGATAAAGACACAATGATGAATTTCAGGATTTCGATATTTAGGTATTATCCGCCATTACGTGATTGTTCATTCATAACATCCATTAGAACGTGAGGTTGATTACTGACCGTATAAATACTGAATAACGCTGTCGACGGTCGGTTCACGATTGTTTTCGTGTGATTCGCTTAGGAAATATTTGTTTCAAAATTAACTGTTTGAGTAATACGACTATTTTTTTTTTCGCGACTATCAAAGCAGATTTGTTGAAGTGTTTATTATGTATTAAGTGTCGGCTCGTTGTGTAATTTATATATCACACAAACTGGCAAAATAGAAGGTCGCCTATGATGTGTCTGGTTTTTTTTCACATTCATCAAAATTAAATATTTAATGTACGAGCACCTGTATAGATTTTAGATCCCTATGCATATTCAACTTCTATATATTTCGCAGTGAATGGAATGGAAATTAAGTCATCGTTTTCATTCTTCCGTCTGACGAGACGAAGTAAAGCCGGTCTTTCTAACCTTAAACTATCGACCTTAAGTGCAGTTCGTTAAGATCCAATTGTGAATGAACTCTTTTCCTTGCTTTTCCTGGAGCACCGTGATATGTCTTCTCAAACGAGGCTTCAGAAGAACAATGAAATCCCAAGACGGGCTGCGGCCCGCTGTGTTGCTGGTATTTCTTACATTTGTGTAATAAAAATCAAACCCGCAAAATTATAATTTGCGTAATTACTGGTGGTAGGACCTCTTGTGAATCCGCACGGGTAGGTACCACCACCCTAGCTATTTCTGCCGTGAAGCAGTAATGCGTTTCGGTTTGAAGGGTGGGGCAGCCGTTGTAACTATGTTGAGACCTTAGAACTCATATCTCAAGGTGGGTGGCGGCATTTATGTTGTAGATATCTATGGGCACCGGTAACCACTTCACTAGGTGGTCCCGTGAGCACGTACACCAATCTAAGAAAAAAAAATGGAATCATTGAGAGGATTAAGTTGTTTATTGGAAACTAAATATTGATATGTATTCATAATATATGTACACACACATTTAGTAACGGTATTGTAATTTAAAGAATATTTAGAACAATTTTCAATGTGATGGATTTTTTCGTTTTAGCAAAATAGTCGATTATATTTTATAGTATCGTTAAAAAATCCGAACCCGTTTTTATTTATAATAACATTATACAAATAATTTATTTACAAACCAAAGTAAGAAAACAAAGACGTAAAAAAGTAAACGTATTTATCGACAATGGTTACGAGAAATGGGAGTGCTGTTTGCGTGAAGTAGGTCAACGTTCAAGGCCTGAATGTCAATAAGTTCCCTGGACTATAACAGCGTTTGTGGTGCCATCGGCCTGCCAAAATATTTACCGCGGCCTGCGTATACATTTTAATGACACGTTGACACTTTGTTGTTTTTCGAATCGTTAACCGCATGGCACCTACGTTGTTGACCCAAACAGCCAATAAGCTGATCAATTTCTAGTTCGATTTTTACAAAGAAAATCATTTAGAATAAATCTTATTTTTTTTGGTATATTTGAGAATTACGATACTGCAGCCATAAAATGTGGTAAGGAAAATCAAACGATTTTGGCAAACCAATAGCTACTAAAAGCAGTTTTATAGATATTTCATATGTGATTACAGTATATCGTTAAAAAAAAGAACTATCAGTCGATACTTCCACATTTCGAATACAATACATGAGAAGAAAGATACGTAGTCAGTCTCATTGTGATTAAGATCAGCTTTCGATATTGTGAGTCGTCGGAGTGCGACGACCCATGACCCGTGAGGGTCATGTGACTTTTCAGTGACGAATTACAATTTACCAATTCGTACGCAATTTTTAAGCTTTATTGTTAAACACTCGCATTTTTAATCGGTAAATAGTTCTACATATATAATATACCATACATACCTGACGATATATATTCAGCAATATTTAATTACATATATTGATAATTCAGTTTGATTTAAAAAGCATTATCAGTAACATCTAATTATAATGCGGATCTTTTTGTTACTTTACTAGTACAAGTAAGTACCTAAACGTAATCATTAATCATTTTATTTAAAATTAAAAATGTCTGGTTTCCAATCGCTGCTACGCACGGA